GCGCTGATTGTCTGCGGAACAAGCGAGACTAAGTCACACTTGTCCTCAGTAGGAGGGCATTCCTGTGGAAGCACGCGACGGCGTACAAGCAGCCCGTAAGCCGCTCCCTGTGTAGACATCCCATTCTCAGTGTCGTCTTGCTTCACTACTTCTCTACCCATAGCAAATCATGGTATAACCGCAGCATTTGTATACGCCTAACTGTGTTGTCACTATAATCTTTGGATTATGTGGTCTCACCCCTACCTACCTACGGGACTCGTTCAGCATTCACTTAATTGCCCCTACTAAACAATACTCAGTGTAACTTTTACACGTTGCTTTGAGGCGCATTGCGTGCTAGCCGTGGAACAAGCACTAAGACAACTCATATGTCAGCTGCATTACCATCTTATTGTCCACCTTGATACATCGCCCATCGCAATCGTAGGACGCCAGAAAGATTTCTGCGCTGGTACCATCTCACCAGTGCATGTGCCTATGTCTACCGGTGCACATGCGATTTAGCGGTGTGACCAAAGTAACCTGTGGCCTACGCGCTTCAATGCGCCACTCGTATTGTGCCTAGTGCCCGGTGCGCGCCATGTGTTCACAGCACGCGAGAGATCGTACGGACAAGCGCCTGGGGTTTAGCTTAGTGACACGGATTGTCGGCCGTGTCAGAATGCGAGTAGCCAGTGACCCGATTCCATAACAGGCTCTGTTATAATGGTGTTGTGAATCGCGCTCAAATTCCTTATCATACACTGACCCCGTTTCCTCTTAGCCTGCCGTGGGTGACCTCAGATGTTAACGAGGTACTACCCCCATCCGCCGTCATGTAATCCGTCACCGCCCATGTACCAAGTCGCACACGAGCAAACTCCGGGCTGTAGTGATTCCCCTAACCCACCTACCCTACACATGCGTACACGTTGCTATGTCTACTATGCATTCGACATGTTATTGGCCCACAGCGCTTGCCTAAGGAACCACCCACACGACGGTGCGCGCATGTCACAGTAGCCTGACTCAACTTAGTTCATCGGAAGGAGTAACCTGTTAGCGTACCAGACTAAGTTGATAGCTGGTTAGCTTAAGTCGCTACCTGTATGGCCTAACATGACTCGGAAATGGTATAGCGGTCTGTGGCCGGTGGGTTGATTCGAAGTGGCAGCCTCAGTGACTGCGACACAATCGAAAGATTAGCGGTAGATCCCTGTCTGTATCTGCCTTACGCAGCTATCGAAAAGGAACCCGCTTGGTCTAAGTTTCTCTACCCTTTGTGATGATTACTAAAGATTGGGCGTCAAAGTGTTACTGCACGATGAGTGGTGGTCTGTTAAAGTTGTAATCGGCCATATGAACCAAGAAAGAACGCACAGCGCAGCACTGCACCGTAGTCGATTCCTTAGTCGTTGCACCACACTCAGGCCACAACTCAATCTTTGTGCAAATTATCTTTGTCATACGGACTCTCGGTCACATATTGCGACCACATATTGCTAGCATAGCTGGAAAACAATCCCTTATTCACTGTCGGAATGCCCGTTATGATACAAAACGTCTCGTTATATAAATGACATACGGTGGGCGTCATTCACTTCCGAACCACAGTAATCTCACGACGCTTCAGTTGTTAACTCATAACAGCGTGTGTATTATCGTGAAGTGTACTAACCGATGCAAAACTGGTGCTCCGGATGTTCGCGATTATTACGCTGGTGATAGCTGAAGAATTACCGTATGCGGAACATGGTTGGAAACCTAATTGCAATCCATTATTTCAGACTGCTGTCAAAGTTGCTTCGGTAATGCAGTATTATTTATTGTTCGCTTGATCGGCTGTTCTGAGCACTAGCGCATCTCAACCAGTACACCAATATGTTGAAAATGTGCCTGCATCCCTGTTACTCCTTTCGATTGCCATACGTTAATCAATCCACAAGTTGTCGTGTTACAGCTGTCGCTGAACCCTGATTGATGACTTGTCTGAACCAGAGTGCGTATGCCTAAAGGCGAGAGCCGTGCAAAGGGGCACTTGATTGTGTCACTAAGCGATCGTTGCAATGCGCAGATGAATTACGGTGTCACATGTAAAGGAATGTAAGGTTAGGGTACTTCTACATTGAGGAAAGCCTCAAATACATAACCGTGTTATGGTTGTGAAAAGGTGACTAATCGCTAAAATTATAAGCTGAACCAGAGTATACAGTTAAGAATTCTTTTCTATACATCTCATCAGACACAGACATTCACACAGAGCGGTCTACATGGGATGTTAACGTTCAAATCGACGAATCATTACATAACTGAACAATGGAACAGTGGTGGAATACGAATGGAAAAGCCAAGGCTTGACAAGTCCCGTGGGAATGTTTGTGGGAATAACGTTAGTTCAATTAACATACATGCAAGTGAAAGAAGCATCTGTGGATTCACTATATTATCCACGTTAACACATAGGTATACCCGTCTAGCCCGACATCCAGGTATTCGTGAGTGTTACTGCAGAACTGGCTGTTTTAAAGCGAGCTGACAACACCTATCCAAACGCATGGTTTGGGCTGAGAGAATGAAGGGCGGTGGGCAGAATAAATTGTACTGAAGCAACCGTGGTTCTATATAAATGATGATAGAAACGTATAACTTGCGAATACGTCAAATGATTCGTAATTAGCTACAGATATAATTCCACTTGCTCAGTTCGAGAAGTCCGCGTTTATTCCTGGTGCATTAAAACAGTGTTCAAATATCTGAGCTTTGCACGTTGGTGTCTGTAAATATTGAAAATTTGTATATAATATAGACTAAGAGGAAAATGTAAAGTAGGCGGTACATTTACTGGTTTCGGCATGTGATCTGTGGTCCAATTATCGTAGTTAAAATTTGAGAAAATTTTGTACTATTTTTAAATAGATGATGATTTAGCGGTGTCCGTATCCGGATTTGCCTGTCACTGTGTCATCCATGGGGATAGTCGCAGGACGCCTGCGTCTACAAAGGGGACCATGTGTGGCTTGCGCTGCACCAACCATTGTTCCACCCACACATCTCATGTACGGTCTAAACCCGAAGGAATAAGACCGGGAGGTATGTGAATGGGATTTTTATATAGATAGTAGTAAAGCTAACCAGGCGGATCAGAATTGCTCAGTATCAGTTACGTCGGGAAAAGGAATATCTACGGCGAAGTGCCATCATTGTAATATTTCTTGATATCCAAAAGGCTTTTGACCCTGTCCCACACAACTTATTGTTGCGAAAACGTATGTCCTATGCTATCACAAATTCGCTTCTAGATTGGTTGTCTTGCTACCTTGAGCGTAGAAAGCAAGTAGAAAAGATCGGTAACTTTACTTCTGAAACCACCTCAATCTCTAGTGGAGTGATTCAAGATAGCTTTCTAGGCCCGCCTTTATTCTTAATCTATTTCAACGATCTCCTTGAGGAAATCTCGTACTGGAAGCCATTTCTCTTGGCTGATGATGTTAAAATGGTTTATTGTTCCCCTTATGTGCAACGCAGTCGTAGTTTATCCTGTATTCTGTCTGACTTGTCCGCATTGTAGCACTGGATAGACTCATGAAATTTGCGCTTTGCCACTGACAAGTGTGTAGTGACCTGGTGATTCCCCTGTTTGGCTGCCGCATGCTGCGTAAAATATTAGAGAATCACAAAATTATATTTTCTCGACGTACACAGCAAATTAGCTGCCCGCCTGTTTGAATGTTGCTCGCGTTTGTTTGGGTCAACATAGCATCCGCCTTCGAACGGCACGCCGCTCATTGGCTCCGCGGCCATCTTTGCTCCCCGTGCACGCGACCACACCTTTCCCCTAGCTAGCTATCTTTCGGTGCCTTATTTTTAGCACTAGATAGCGTTTCGCCCCACTTAATAAATTTTTCCTAGCGTTACGTTTGGTGTTCTCCACTCATCGGAGGTTGGCCTTATATTCGCGTATTGGTTCTAAAGCGTACCGATCCTGCTTCTCGCTTTATTGGTGACCCCGACTTTTGGTCATTATCCGGTGAGTTTTCGCTAACCTTTCTTTTCAGATTTGGCTACATTTTTTCGCTAACCCGTCTGATTTTCACTTTTCATTTTCCGGTTTAATCTCGCTGGCTCGCTATTTTGCTCGCTATGGAAACTGATCGCGTAGATTCTGACGTTCAGATCGGCACAGTTACTCTTTATACCCCATCTTTTCGCTAGATTAATCCTAAGTCTTGGTTTGGTCAGCTAGAGTCGCAATTTTCTTTGCGTGGTATTAGGTCCGAAAAGACCAAGTTCCACCTTGTCGTTTCCGCGCTTCCGCTAAATGTCATCAATGTCATCGATGACATTCTAGATCTTCCTGACGACCAAAAGACTTACGATGCAGTCAAGACAGCTGTTCTGAGAAGAACAGGCTTATCCGATCGACAACGAGTTACGAAACTCCTCAACGAAACCGATCTTGGCGATCTTAAGCCGTCTCAGCTGCTTCGAAAAATGCAGAGCCTAGCTAAACCCACTTCGATAGATGATTCTTTTCTTCGGGAAATGTGGTTGCAACGACTTCCGCGCGAGATGCTACACATCCTCTGCGCTAGTGAGGATGCACCTTTATCCAAACTGGCCGATACAGCCGACGGAATTTAGGAGTCGTACGGCCAGGTTTCGCAGGTCCAGACGAAACCGGACGACGATATCGCCACGCTTAAATCCCAGATGGCAACATTGACTCGACAATTCGCAGACTTTTCGGCCTCCGGACATAACCGCTGTAAATGCTCTAAGAGCCGTTCGCGTTCACGTTCGAACTCTCCTTCGCGATCACCGAATAGAAACGGTTACTGCTGGTACCACGAACGATTCGGCCAGCAAGCTAAATCATGTCGCCCGCCCTGTTCCTTCAAACGACAGCAGCAGGGAAACGGGCGGACCAGCACGTAGGGGCGACGGACGTAGCTGGTCAACGCAGTCGCCTTTTCTTCGTCACCGATCGTAGAACCGGAGTTCGCTATCTCGTCGATACTGGCGCAGAAGTCAGCGTTCTCCCGCGTGATCCAAACGACCCGACCGAAAAGGTGACTAGCTCATTGCGCGCAGCTAACGGGACCATTATCCGCGTATATGGTCAACGCTCGCGCACGCTAAATCTCAGCCTCCGACGCGCTTTCAAATGGATATTCCTCGTTGCGGATGTTCAAACGCCTATCCTTGGTCTCGACTTCTTACGTCATTACGACCTACTCGTCGACGTTAAGCGACACCGTCTAGTCGACCGCCTTACGAATCTCGCAGTCATTGGGACTTTGACCGACACCGCGTCAATCAGTCCCGTGTACGCGACTCAACTTAGTTCACCCGTCGGGCAAACGCTGCTCGATAGTTTTCCGCAGGCCTTCCGTCCTGCCGTCCCGTTGCCTTCCGCAACCGACGCCGCGACACATCACATCGTTACGAAAGGTCCGCCTGTGTTCGCAAAAGCCAGGCGCATGACCCCCGACAAGCTCAAAATTGCACGCTCCGAATTCGAGCACATGCTAGACTTAGGCATTATTCGCCCGTCTAAGAGCCCGTGGGCGTCGCCTCTACACATGGTGCCTAAAAAGTCAGGAGACTGGCGTCCATGTGGCGACTATCGCGCTCTCAATAACGCTACCGTCCCCGACCGCTATCCGATTCCGCACATTCAGGACATCACGGCTAGCCTACGTGGCGCCCGTGTGTTCTCGAAGATCGATCTGGTTCGCGCTTACCACCAGATCCCTGTAGCCGAGGATGACATTCCGAAAACCGCAGTCATCACGCCTTTCGGACTTTTCGAATTCTTGCGAATGCCCTTCGGTCTTCGCAACGCAGCTCAGACTTTTCAACGCTTCATAGACTCTGTCACGAGAGGTCTCGACTTTGTTTATCCTTATATAGACGACATCTTAGTAGCTAGTTCTTCCGAAGAACAGCACGCGGAGCACCTCAAGATGCTTTTCGAGAGGTTAGCCTCTAATAGCATTACTGTCAACGCTGACAAATGCATCTTTCAGCAACCATCTATCGAATTTCTTGGTCATCGAATTGACCAGCATGGCATACGGCCGCTCGAAGACCGAGTCAGCGCTATTAAGGACTTTCCCGTTCCGACTACTTTGGCCGCCATCCGCCGTTTTAGTGGGATGATCAACTACTACCGTCGATTTCTGCCACGTTGTGCCGACTTGCTCAGTCCATTGACCGACTTACTTCGTGGACGCAAGAACGGCAACGTCGAGTTGACGCCCGCTGCAACCGAAGCCTTCAAGGCCTGCAAAGAGGCCTTGGCTGAAGCCGTTATGCTTCACCATTTCGACCCCAAAGCTCCACTCAGCGTTGCAGTCGATGCATCGGACACCGCCATTGGCGCCGTCCTGCAGCAATTCACTGAGGGATGCTGGAAACCACTCGCTTTCTACTCCCGACGCTTACAACCGGCAGAAGTCAAGTACAGCACGTTCAGCCGCGAACTGCTGGCAGTTTATTCTACCGTCCGACATTTCAGGCACGTCTTAGAAGGTAATTCGTTCGTTATCTTCACCGATCATAAGCCGCTTATTTACGCCTTTCGAAATCAATCAGCTCGACACTCACCACGTGAGGTTCGTCAGCTGGATTTCGTGGCTCAATTTTCTACTGACCTCCGACACATTTCAGGTCAGAATAACGTCGTTGCTGACGCTCTTTCGCGCGTCTCCGCAATCCACACCGCTGGCCAGGCAATCGACTTATCTGCCATGGCTACCGCGCAACTAACCGACACTGACTGTCAGAACGTCAAACAAGATTCTTCGCTACGAATCACATCGCATCCACTGCCGTCATCTGATGGCACAATCTTGTGCGATACTTCTACTGGACGACCTCGACCCGTCGTTCCAGAAACCTTTCGACGTCTAGTTTTCGACACACTTCATAACATCGCTCATCCAGGCATCCGAGCCACGATCAAGCTCATATCCGAGAGATACGTTTGGCTCGGAATGCAACGCGATCTTAAGCGCTGGGCACGCGGTTGTCTAACGTGTCAGCAGGCCAAGATACAGCGGCACGTGTCCGCTCCGCTTGGTCGTTTTCCGCAAGTCTCAGCTCGCCTCGCCCATGTCCATCTCGACATAGTTGGACCCTTGGCACCATCCAGAGGAATGGTCTACATTCTGACCATGATCGACCGATACACCCGTTGGCCCGAGGCCGTACCTATACCCGACGTATCCGCGGACACCGTAACGCGCGCTTTCGTTGAGCGCTGGGTCGCTTCACATGGCTGTCCAGCCACCGTGACTACCGACCGCGGTCCGCAGTTCGAATCCTCGACCTTCAACGATCTTCTCAAAGTCCTCGGATGTCAACGCATCCGGACTACCGCCTATCACCCGCAATCCAACGGCATGGTGGAACGTTTCCACCGACAGCTGAAGGCCTCACTTAGTGCCGCTAATGCACTAAGCTGGACCGAAGCACTGCCTATGATACTACTTGGTATCCGATCAGCTCTTAAAGCTGATTTGCACACGTCCAGCGCCGAACTGGTATATGGACAACCTCTTCGACTACCTGGGGACTTCTTTTCTGGAAACCCCAGAACACCCCGCTACGACGCGAATTACGCTCGGCAGTTAGCCACGAGCATGCGCCATATCAAAGTAACCGACGTGCGAGAACAACGACGTAAATCGTTCGTTCCACAAGATCTACTGCATTGCGCTTACGTTTTCCTTCGAGTCGATGGTCTACGCAGACCACTCGAACGACCCTACGAAGGTCCATTTAAGGTTCTTAAACGTAAGGACCGCGTATTCGTTATCGACCGCCACGGTAAACGTGAAACTGTCTCTATCGACCGTCTCAAGGTTGCCCATGTGGAACCTGAGATCGACGATGACTCCCGTCCACCTTCGGACGAGTCAACGCAGCCTATGATCGACGACACGCCTACTTCCGATGCTACGAAGCATTCTCCGACTAACCCTTCCGACTCAGTTCCTTCCGATTCTATCGAGCCGAAAGCTTCCTCATCCGACAAAACTGCTGGATCGACAACGCCTCCGACCGAACGTCCGAAATCGACTAGGTCAGGTAGGCGGGTTCATTGGCCAGCGCGATTAAAAGATTAGTCTTCTTTTCATTCTTCCTTTCCCGCTTCCTTTTTGCTTGTGGCCTAACCCGCCCAACAAAACGGCAGTTTTGAAAACCCAAAAAATTTGCAAAGCGTTTTGAAAACCCCAAAACCGCAAAAACGTTTTGAAAACCTAAAAAAGGAGAAAATCGTTTTGAAAACACAAAATGGTTCTCGCTTTATTCGCTTATCGCACTCGGTAAGTGCTATCGCCTTTTGTTAGCTCTGTCGCTCGCACCTGTTTGACACTCCGCGTTTCCGCTTCTTTTTCATATCCCCGACACGCGGACGTTCAACGACAATCGAACGTTACGTTTTCGGACACTACGTGCTCAAACATCATGTGCTGTGACACTACGCACTCGAACGCTACGAACATTTCCCCCATTTTGTGTTTTTGGCACCTGTAGGGAGGACACGGGTGGGAGCCCCCTAGCGTCCGATCGCATTGGTTCTCCCCCAGCAGCTGCATCAGGTTTCACCGCCTGGTCTCGCAGAAGGCTGGCCGGCGACGGACAGTCCTCACGTAGATCGAAGGGTCACCTACGGTTCCCTTCTAAGAGGGGGCTGTGTAGTGACCTGGAGATTCCCCTGTTTGGCTGCCGCATGCTGCGTAAAATATTACAAAATCACAAAATTATATTTTCTCGATGTACATAGCAAATTAGCCGCTCGCCTGTTTGAACGTTGCTCGCGTTTGTTTGAGTCAACATAGCATCCGCCTTCGAACGGCGCGACGCTCATCGGCTCCGCGGCCATCTTTGCTCTCCGCGCACGCGACCACACCTTTCCCCTAGCTAGCTATCTTCCGGTGCCTTATTTTTAGCACTAGATAGCGTTTCGCCCCACTTAATAAATTTTTCCTAGCGTTACTTTTGGTGTTCTCCACTCATCGGAGGTTGGCCTTATATTCGCGTATTGGTTCTAAAGCGTACCGATCCTGCTTCTCGCTTTAAGTGTAATCTATTGGACGACGACTGTGGCCCTTCTCTGAACGTCCTACCATTAAACGATACCCCTATCCCTGTATGTGGCGCAGTCCGAGGCCTTGGTCTAAGATAGTCTGCCTCATTTAATTTTTTAAAACATGTTATATTCTTGTAGGCTTCTGCCAGAAAAGTGATCGCCTACATAAGTCGAACTCTTATCTTGAGAGATTCCAGGCTACAGGCCTTTAAAATATGCGTTAGGCCGAAGCTTAAGTATTGTACAATTGTGCACGGTAATCTGAGAAAAGTGGACAACATAGCACTAAAAAAATTCCACGATCATTCACAAAGAGGTTTTTGAACCTGCCTAATACTATGACATACCGTGAGCGTTGCTGCATGCGGTATGCAATCTTGTTAGTCCAACTGCATTATACTACGAATAAATGTACTGCGTTTCGCGTGTCCCATACTTTTCCAGTTTCAAAATGAACTTATTGCTAAACAATTCATTCAAATGCGCAATCTCATTGTGCTTAATACGACTTTCAAAAGTCTGAAAATTATGGAGGACAAAACCCCGCTACAATGAGAGATAAGGAGGAGAATGTCTGAGGTAAATCAGAATACCCAACAGCCATATGGCGCCCCGCATCCAGTTGATATTGTTCCACTTAGTGGCCAACACATATGTGAGGATAATACCCCGCTTGCTACAAATAGGGACGAAGCGGTGAATGATAAAGTGATTTTTGAAATTAACAAGGAATCACATGAATATGCGGACCACTCTATTGCATTAGATGATGTGTCTGGTAGAACACCTAATTCTCGCACCTCGGAGCTAAGATCAACGTCAGATGCAAAACTGGTTACTGGAGGACCTCCACTAGGCCGCAGATTCACCGCTAAGTATGAAAAGCCGACCAAGCCCAAAACCACTACAATCCACAAAACTAATGATGTGCATGGTGCCTCCTCTTGGATAATCAGTTCTGGCAGTCATATAGGGTTTCCTAATGCTCTTTCCTGTATGCGAAGTGACAACAATGGGGGTCAGCGAATAACAACTGCATTACCTGCTAAATCTCAGCTGCATGCAAAACCGCTACCGCAAGCCTCGAACTGTCATGTCCCGCCTAAAGTCTGCTCTGGCCAGTGTCCAAACTCATCAAGAATATAGATGGATCGACAGTAAAAGGACCGTTGACCTAGATTTATCACAAGCATCATTGGGCGACTCTGTATCGTCATTTTATTTGTATAGACGTGCATCCATTGGTCATAAAGTTATGGGACACGTGCCGCCATCTTTGCCACTTACACACGGTGTAATTTGGTATCATGACTTCCCGATTCCATCAACGAACCACATGAATTATGCTGATGTTGGAGTATGGATTGACACCAGTGTGCCTCCACCGCGGATAGAAAAGCCTTGTATATCGAGCACAATTAAGCGGACTTTACCTATAGATGGAAATGACAGCAACCCACTGACTCCTAACAATGCGTTACGTAATCAACAGCCTATTAGCGACATGATGCAGAGGACACAACCTAACTCTCAAGCTCCCACAGGCGACTGCAGTAATCATGGACACTTTCCCACGAACCATATTCTAGAGGGCCATACTCAGCCTCAATCCCCTCCGCTGTGGTCACCTCCAAATCATTTCCCACCGCTGGCAATACGCCCACTTTTTCAACAGTTTCTAACCTGAGTCCAGGCATACGGTTTGAAACCCCAGTGTTTATAACACAATCTAAAGAATCTTCCTCATATCTCACATCTATCTCAGTATTTTTGATAAACATTCGCTCTCTTTACAAGACCCACACACTACGCTCTTTTGTTTTGGTGAATAATCCTGATATAATATTTATAACTGAATCTTGGTGCCATGATGGCCTGTCTGACACTCAGTTAACTATTTTCGGATATAACAAGTTTATGAGAAATCGGCCTGGTCGTCGAGGTGGTGGCTGTGTAATTTATCTGAAAAATCGCTCGCAGCAGCAACATTTGATAACCCAGTGTTGAACAATGTTCAGGAATCACTCTGGCTTACGATATCAGTTAATCAGCAACAGCTGCTTATGGGATGTATATACAGCGCGCCAAACGGCAGCCAAGAAGACCTAGAGCTATTGACGCTTGCATTTGAATGCGCCGCTGGCCTACCATTTTTACATAAGATTACAGGAGGTGATTTCAATCTGCCTTCGATTTCGTGGCCCATGGGAACCGCTCCTCTGAAATGCCAAAATCTTAGCTTTTGTATCTAAATGAATGGTTGGTAGCAACACGTCTCCCAACCTACCAGAGGTGAAAGTACTCTGGATCTCATTATTTCATTGGGCATACCTGCAATCAGTGTTAACGTTCTTGATGAAGTTCCGGGGAGCGATCATCGTGTGGTCAAATGCCGCCTAAGACTACGCATGGCCGATATACAGCAAACAATGCATTACAGTCTGTTCAGAGCGGTCAACTGGGACTCTTTCAAAAACCTGGTCCGTTCGATGATAACTTCTTTCTCTCTTCGTGTCCTCAACATACCACGGACCTCTTTTACAGTATAATTGGCTTCTGCATTGATTCAACAGTACCACTAAAATGTGTTTACCAAACTAAACATAAATCCGATCGCAAGGCGTTGAAGGCAGTGCCAAAGTTTCATAAAATTCGGCAGAAATTCAAATTAACTACTGACTTTGCGCTATTATTACAGCAGTCGAAGCTCGTCGAAGAACAGAGGCATCAACGTGACAAAACTCTCATTCTAGAAGAGTATAAAACTCTAAACGGCCATCGCAAAACAGCTGAGCTAGTCAAACTAGTTCGTGCCCGGGGTTCGTGTTGCAGCGACAATCTCAATCTTATCACCACGTCTGATGGAACATACTACGATGCACCAGGTGATATCTGCGAAGCTTTCAGTGCTTATTTTGCCGAATCGATGCTCAACGAATCAGCAGACACGCCAACAATTATCATGCCGCGTAACAATGAAGGTCTATGCACAGTGGAATGCACTATAGCGAAAATCACTGGGTAAGTCTCGCGCTTATACTCCTCAAAGTGTGCATGCCCTGACGGAATACCCCTTGTCTAATAAAAAGCAGTGGTAATGACTTCCTTCTACTTTAGCTCAACAGCTTTACACTCTCTTTTAACATAGAAGTATAAGCTGCTCAATGGAAGACCTCAGTCGTTATCCCGCGACATAAAAATGGCGCTGCCCATGAGGTTAAAACTTTCGTCCCATCAATCACACACCCATCGTATCTAGAATAATGGAACGGATATTGAAAGATGAACTATTTATGTTTTTTAACAACGCTAACATTACCAGCAATTCGCAACACGGCTTCATGCAAGGTCGATCCTGCGCAACATGCCAGACTGACTTTTGAACCACACAACGGCTGCAATTGACAAGGGAAACAGTGTCGTAATCCTGTTCCTGGATATGCAAAAAGCCTTTGATGGAGTGCCCCACAGTAGGTTACTAAACAAACTGAAGGCTATAGGTATTGCAGAACCGAGGTTCTCTTGGCTATCTTCATTTTTAATTGGTAGACAGCAGGTGGTGCGTATAGGGAACCATCTCGCTAAACCGAAAGCAATCGCTAGTAGTGTGATTCAAGGGAGTGTTCTTGGCCCTCTTCTTATTCTAATTTATATTAACGATATACTCCAGAAAATAAGAAATTGTGTTGCATTTATCTTTGTTGATGACGTTAAAGTGTCTACTCACGACAATGTGCAAATACTCAGGGAGCCATACGTCTCATTTAGGATGACCTATCCGCCCTTGACTCCTGGTGCCAATTGTGGCAGATGTCATTTGCCGTGGACAAGTGTAATATTTTGTCGTACAAATGCCAAGTACCACCAGACAGTTTATTGCTACAAGGCGCATATATCTCGCAATGCAGGGTAATTCGCGACTTAGGCGTGCGATATTCAGTCACGTTTAATTTTTCTGAACACTGACTTTCAAGTTTCGCAAGCGATGAAGGCCATCGGTTACATCTGCCATCATTTTTACCTCACGGAATCTCGCATATCCCTTTACAAAACATATGTATTACCATGTATGGAATACTGTTCAATGGTACAGTCTAATCTACGGAAATCTGACCAGCACGCTCTTGAGAGGGTCCAGAGAC